TTTGTTTTTCGTGAGCTAAAAAAATTAAATTCTGTGTGAGCCCCTTTTTAAAATTCAAAAGTAAAAAAAATTGTATTTGAGAGGTTAATAACTAATTTACTTAATTTTAATAATTTATTAATTTTAAAATCATAACACACTCACACACATACACGAATTTCCTTTAGTGATATACATTTTAATATTATATCGGACACGTGTCGGTATTAATGCTGCAGTATGTTATAATCGATATGAGCTCAGTTATTTATCAGAAAAATTCCAACAATTGAGATTGAAAGTGTGGCGCAGATTGCATATTAAGTCATTTCGTTTTTTGTCCTGTTGTAAATTTCTAAAATTAATATTTTGATGTAGCCTAAATGATATGTTATTTTCAATATTATATTTTGTTATAGATAACACATGCACTTTTATGTATACACCTATTGGTGGTGTAAATCATAAGTACTAAAATGGTTATTGATTGATTGATTGATTGAGCAGAATGTTATACTTTTTTAGGTGAACGATTGAGAACACTTAAAATTTATAAAAGATTCCCTGCTTATCCAAATATTAATATAATTGAGAATGAATTTACGTGCAACGTTGTCATATAATTTAATTGGTTATCAAACGATTCAGAATGTAGAATTTTTTTAAGCAGAAAATTTAAGTATAACGAATAATGATAATTATAATAATAATATATATATATATATATATAATGTTAAAATAAATTACATTATATGTATATAAATTTATATATACCTATATATAAGTATATATACAAATAAAATATATGATAATCGATAGCAATGTTCAAATTTATAGTCATTCATTTTAATGATAATTTAAATAATTTTATACAAAATATGGTATACATTTATTACATTATGTATTACGAAATTGATTTGCGGTATTCATATATAGACTAATATCAAATAAAGAGCTCAATTGTCAAATAAAAATGATTGAATACGGCAATGTTGGAAAAAATAGTGTAAACTGAGCATTCTTAATCGATATTTTACCCACTGGAATTGGCGCAAAATATCATCCTGCTCACTGTAAATGGTTTGTGCAATAATAATACAGCAACACTATTGGCATGCGCTGTCTCGCATAGTCAGCTGGCCGTTTATGGAAGCGCCTCGTGAAGCAGAATATCGTTTGAAACCAACGTCCAGTACCGAATCTCATCATCACATTATAATATTATTGTAGGGTAATGTTATCTAACATCGTCAACGTTTATATTCACCTGACAGCGATTGCGCACCAACGTGATATCAAACAATAGAAAAATAAAAATAAAATAATATTGAGTATACAGTGGTCGCCGCTTAATGTAATCACTTTGGTGAGGGACATAACTGATAACATAATCCGATTGATAACATTAAACGAAAGTTAAAAAAGTTATAAAAAATAATAAAATCTACGTTAAATACATAATTAATAAAAATATAATTTTTTTATTTATTATTATTTATTTATAAATAAAGTACATATGTAGGTTGTAGGTATAAATTGGAAATTTAAAATTAAAAAAAAAAATTAAATGTAAATAAACAAATATGTATAATATGTATGTACACCACTAACATTTATATCTTTATTATGAGACATTCGACGAAACATTTGAATGTATGTTACAAAATTATGATTTTATGAACTCAACTGATAATATTATGCGACGTATTGATTACAAAAACCGACATAATTTACACATATAAGTATAGATCCGGCTCGTACTTACACTTTTTGATAACAATAAACGATTGATAACATTAACCGTGATTATAATAAGCGGCGACCACTGTATTATAGTTATACGCCATAATAATACTCGTATATTATCTAAAGAATAACTACTTTCAGTATTTAATCCGGTATAAAATTTAAAATTTTAAATAAATTGGGTTTATTTTTTTTTTTTATTAGCTTCAAGTAATAAACTATCATAGCTCGACAATTAGAGAATAACTTAAGAATAGTAACATAATAGTATATTAATTTATAGATGTTGAAATCACATTTTGAATATGGAAAGTGACGTGAATATAATAATTTAGACAGTGATAAAATATAGATTAAAAACAGGTATGGGTCGGTAGACCCTATTAAATAATAAATTAGGTTATTTAATTATATTTTAAATAATATTCATAATACTATAATACATGTTGTAGGTACATATTTTGCGATAATGGTTGGCCGTGGTTACGAGTCACCACTCACCCCAACACTTCGTTTATTAAGTTTGTCGTAATGTACGTATTTATACTTGAATTTTTAAATAGAAATGCCAGCTTAATATATTTTAAAAATTGAATATTACAAGCATACAATTTAGGCTTTTGGGTATTTATAATGTTTTCCGGTTAAATACGCTGATGCGATTGGTGTTTCATAATTTTACGTGAGTTAAACGGGCAATGCGTAAACGATATGAACGAAAGTTTTTATCGTACGCTTGTGATAACATCAATGTATCGTTTGAAATTTTCAAATTTTACAATATGGAAAATGAAAACATGCTGTGTTACAGACTTCAATATAGTATACATAAACGTACAGTAAGTCGTACAGTGGAGAAGCATTAATTCGATGATGAATGGGGATAATAAAATACAATCGTTCAAAATAACTAACTCGAATTTATCAAAATTAAATCTACATTTCAAGCAATAAAATAAAATAAAATTTTACGAAATAAATATTTAATATAAATATGTAATAGAATTGTATTATAAAAAAAATATGTTAAAACATGTTATATTTAAAAAAAACACAGTGATACCTATTATATTATATAATATTATCATTAAAATTGTATTTGGTTATTACTATTTTGCGTTTCGATTGTTTATTAGTTAAATCTTTTAATTTTTATACTGTTTTAAATATAAAAGTATCTATGTGTTCGACAGATCCAATAAATTGTCTAATAGTAATAATGATAACGTCATTGCTATTATGGTTTGTTGTGGAAGTATTTGAAACTCGTCATTTCAACCTTTTTTGAGATCATTATTATTGATATAAGTATATTACAGGTATAATAAAATATATTATAATTTTATTGTATATATTTATACTTTGAGTTATTCATCATATATTTTTACATGAGTAAATGAGATTAATAATATTTTGAGTTTACACCAATTTTAAAGAGAATAAAAAAAAATTGAGTAGTCGAGTTTTTTGAGTTATCGTGACTCGACTATAAAATTAATAATTATTGTGTTAACATTTTTTTTTTTTAATCGCAGCGGTCTACGTTTTTAAGAGTTCCGCATGATCCACAGTAAGACTTTAGAATAGTTGAAAAAATTTTGACAAATTCTGATTGCAAGATCAGTTTGAACGTTGGATTGACTCAAATACTTGATGATGAACGATTAAAAAGTATTACCGTTGTTATTACCATCGTAAAAACGAATGATGATCACGTGGGAGACGTAGAATAAGACATTTGCCTTTGGTGAACACTAACAAAATAAAGATAGAAAAATAAATCAATGTTATGATAGAAATATATAATATATATATAATACATATTAGGTTAATCAGGAATATTGTTAGATGCTATTTATTTTATACTTTACTTTTTAATTCTTTAAGTTTTCTATGTTAATAATACGTATGATAAAATATAGGTAATGTAAAATCTACGCACATACATATTTTGAGGTTCATTGCGTGGTGCATGTTCGTTTAGCCATAGCTCTGTTCATACACTGTGATTTATTATGCTGCCGTTACGGCAAAAACCCATTTCCTTTTTTCCCGTTTCAGCAATCGAATTCGCCCCCTCTCATTTCCCGCTTCGTTACCGCTCCGGACGCATTTATACCTGTAAAGTCACATCTTAAGGTTGTTTGCGAGGGAGACTTTGGCGGCACCCTCAAAAATACAAAATTTAATGAGGTTTTAAAATTTAAAATTAATTATATTTTCTGATCGGTTTTCGATGTACCTATACGTCGTACGTAGATACCTATTTATTGTTCGTACACATTAAATAATATATTTATGTACACAAATATAATTTGTTAGTCTTTCATTAGAAAAGTTTAAACAGTATAATAACGAATTTATTGTTGTCAGTTAGGACTAGGAGTTAATTTTATAGTTTTTGGTACAAATACATAATATTTTAGCATTCGCAATAGGTAAATTAATTTTAAGTAAATCTGCGCAAACTTAGTGTTCACGATGATATTTTACACCTATATACCTTAAGTCTTATAATATAAATGGATCATCTCGATAATAGTTGTTCCAAAAAAATGAATTATCAAGCATGTAAGCGCAACTCTCTCTCTCTCTTTATATATAAATATATATATACATATGACCTCGGATGATTTTTGGTAAGATGACGGACACAATTTATTGTTATACATCTTCCCTGTGCTTGCCCTTGCCCTTGAAGTCACGAATCAATAATTCGATTCACGAATAATTATGTTATTATAGTGCATATTATCATTATTATTATAATTGTATATGCGAAATAGTTTTGCGGCGGTTGCACACCATATTATTGTTATGTGACGTGTATTGGGTCTCCATCACTGCAGGTTTGAAGATGACGCTAACGACAGTGCCAAGGTGAAAACCGATTTGAAAAAACAAATAAAACGCGTCGTTGATCATTGCCAATAATAATAATAATAATAATAATAATATTAAATATTATTATTATTATTGCGAATCGTCCCATCCTACCATTCAGTGATCTTCTCCCCCCTCTTCATTATCATCGCACGTTTCAGGACTAAACATTTCTCTAATCTCGAAACGCCCCACGCACTGAGCTCCGATCCGGCTGCGATCCTAACTGAAAAAAAATAGACATATACAAATATTGTTATCGTATAATCTTCGCAGGTTTTTTTTTTATTTCTTGTACGATTTACTTATTATATTGCAATTTTTTCTGTCGTTCCTCGTTAGAGTTATGATTCTGCGGTAGCGGAGGTTCACGTATATTACTATTAGCTAGTAGCTACCTATATAAAGACGTACTCGTTATCGAACGGTCGGCGTACGTTGTTTATCGAACTCGCGTGTTCGCCGAGAAAATATAATATTCACTGTTGGTGTCGAATTATTTTTACTGTTCTACTATTAAGTCACAATATCAACTCCCATTGGTATCTAATATCTATGCGTAGATTTCGAACAAACGAGAAAACAAGTTCAATCTCTTAGTAAAAAAATATCTACATATACGTAAATCCACCTACACTACACATAGACACTACACCGTATCGGTTAATCCAAGCGTACTTCACATTTTCGCCCAAGTGAGTTTTTTGTTTTAGTTATATTTTCATGTTCTTTTCGGTTAGGGTATAATATAAAATAGGTATTTTAATTATAATATTATTTTATGTTTTTATTAGTTATGGCATCATTATTGTTATTACATAATAGTACAATATAATAGTATACGTTTATTGGTGCTTTTAAAATATTACATATATATTATTTATTTATTATTTCTGCTGTGTATGTTTATGAAAATAATAGATTTACAGATTTACGGACTTGTATTATTTATATGTTTAAATGTTATGTTAATAATGTGTAATATTATAGTAAATAAATTTAACGATAATATAATATGTTTGGTTACTATCTGTAAGTATAGTGTTTTACTTATTTGTTACTTTTCAAATAAGAATTAGTATTTAATTAGAAATTGTGTACGTATTTTCGTCAAATAATGATATTATGTACCAGTTGACTATACGTTGCTACCTACCTCAGTTTATTAGTTACTATCGAATCATTTGCAGTGTCAGATCTCGACTGTGAATAGCATTAATACACTATTTTCATGTTTTTTGATTTATTTTGAACTCGAAACTTGCAAAGTTTATTTGCAAATAGAATTTTTTAGTGTACTTAAATATTCACGTGATTAGACTAACGTAAAAATAAAACAATAATAAATCGTTTGTTTCGTAGAAAAATTGTTTGAGTAACTCTTATTAAAACAAAATATTTTGTGTATACCCTATAATACCCTACACGTAGTCAACTTTGTCAGAATAATATGACATTTGTGGTTTTTGTAGTATAATTTCAAATCTACCAATTGGAATAATATACAGTCAATAAAATAATAATATAATATTAAATCATATTGAATTATTATTATTATATTATAATTATTATTTTTTTTTCTTTACTTATTATTATAAATCAACAATATTTAAAGTCAATTAAATTTTCTTTCACGCAATTTATCATTGTATACAATATTAAAATCTACTGATTTAATAAATTCTAAATTTCACACGAATCTATGTTATTATTACAACTAAACAATACATTGTATACATATTAAATGGAGTAATTTATAGCTATCTATTGTAGTTTTAGCGTACAACAAAAAAAAGTATCGTGAAAGTCTGTAATAAGCCTATAATATTATTAAAATATTTTTGTCAACACCTGTTTTGGATGTTCCAACCTCATGTCTATGACATTTATATAACGTGATTTAATTTTTTTTAAATTTATTTGAATAGTATTCAATCAATATTTTTTTCTAATAAAATTAATAAATGTACATCATAATAACGCAGTATTGTAGCGTATTTTTTAAAATATGTTTTAACCATAATCTTTAATTTGTATTTATTTTATCATTATACCAAAATAATTGTATACCTAATATATTATGTTACCACTGTCATATTTTGTCGAGAATTTCTAGCGTTTAGGATTTAGATAAGTATCAGTGTTCGTGGAGCGTGCAAACCTTGTGAAACAACTATACCCGTTCATTAGTTTAGAAAATGTGTATAAAACAACTATATTAAACACTTATTGATCCACTTGACGTAAGACTTTTTTTTAAATCATTAAAAATATATATTTTTATTATTTTTTATTATATTAACTTTATTAACTTTTAATTCCTTATTCAAATGCAGAATATTTCTTCAGTACTTCGATGTATAATAATTTAATTTTGGACGAGTGATTTAAGAGTTAAAAGTTTAAATGAATTTAAACGAAAAAGGTTTTCTATTTTACTCATCTAAACTTTGAATACTTATAAAATTATAGCTAATAAACTATTTGTCCAAAATTTGATTTTATGTCAAAGTACTATGAAGAATGTTCTGTATCAGAATTAAAAATTAAAAATCTATGTTGGTATTAAAAATAGTGAAAAAAAATATACCGATAACAAATAATAAAAAATACATTTCTTTTTAAATTATGTTATCTTGTAACGATTTAAAATTATGCAAAAGAAATATTTTTTTAAAAGTCAGTATTTTCTGAACTAATGGAATGTCTTACTTTAAATGGATCACCCAGTGTACGCAAAGTTATCATTATATCAAATAGTTTAGGCGATAAACTTACTAGATACATATGTGTACTTAGTGCGTAAATGATTTTAGAGTGCTCGTTTTAGAAACGTATACCGCAGTAAACTCGATATCAGCCCTAGTGAGAATTATTTTTGATCTCGTTTACGCCAAGTTTAAACCGTTCTAACCGCTTAAAAATTAAACTACTCAGAAAAACCTTTTGACTTCGCACAGTTTGATCGCATACGTGTATTTTCAGTATTTTTGTAATTTTTTAAAACACTTTGTGCGATGTATGTTAATGATTATTAAGCTGCAAGTATTACTTAATTTAATTTTTTTTTATTTGCTGATAATTTATTATATATGGCTCAATTAATTTTAAAAATAATATCATATTTTTAATATATTTATACTTGATAGAAAGAAGTATTAAAAATACAATTTCCGTGCACAAGTATTGTATTATGATATGATAAAATAGGTTTTTATAAACATATAAATAATATTACTATTAATGACAACAATAATGAATATAATAAATTTCAAAGCTTCGAGGGAACATATAATAGTATATAATATTATTCTATTATAGTTTTATCCATTATCGAATAACGCCTGTACGATTTATATAGATATAGGTACACAACACGTAAATACGTTATTGTACATTACGCGATACTAAACAATTAACATTAAATTCTTATCGATCAATCAATACGTAACTTCATAATTGGATAGATTATACTATAATAAGCTTGCTGTATATACAAATTATCGAATAGTATGTAATACTATTATATATACGGTTCTACCTTCTACCTATATTGAACGGTTTTCGAACTTAGACCGTTAAATGTGGGATGCAATTAATTATTTACGGAGCGTATATAAAAGTATTTGAAAATAATTTGCCTATATTATTTGTAATTATCCGAAGGTATACGAGTACTTACCTAAATTCGTTAGATGTTCGTTTGACTGCAAATTACCGGTATGATATATTCGTCGAAACACCTATTATAGTAAATATATGACGTTATTTTGAAAATGAGGAATGAGTCGTAATTTTAAAGTTACAAAATCTTATATAATAATATGCGTGGTGTATTTCATCATAGCTATGATACTAATTGATACGTGTGTTAAGTGATTGATTATACAAATACATAATATATTTGATGATATGCATTTAAAAATAACTTTAAAAAAAATAATTAACTTAAAATTATATTATTTATCATTTGTACATTATTGTAGTATTATACAGAAATAATATTTTATCACTTATATTATATTGTATTAATTTAATTTTTAATTCTAATGGCGGATTAATTGATGAACTAAATTTTAATTTTAAGACATTTTTATATATGAAAAAGAAAATCAACAAATATTTTATTATGTATTCATTGATTATGTAAATTTTTAACATTTGGGCTTTAAACACACATAAACACACATAACAAACTAACGATTCTAATAAGAACAAATTATGTGGTAGATTTTTCTAATATTATATTTTCAAGCCAAATCTAGCTAGGGATAAGCAAAACCATTTTAATAGAAATATTTAAAATTAGGTTATCAGTTTAAAAATAAAATTACTGGATGTCCACGTTATGTCTCTAACCTTAATTTAAAATAAGGATCAATCTATATATATACTTCTCACTTAAAAAAATAGTCCACTAATATTATAATAGATTTTACAAAAAATGTATTGATCTCCCAAATGTCCTTTCCAACTATTCCTTAAAATCCCGGTAGGAGGCTAAAAAAAAAATTGGCCAAATGACCTTAACAAACATAATATAATTTCAAATCACTACTTAAAAAAAAATGTATATATTATATATCTTAGAGGTGTTATTAATGGGATGCTTCTTCCTCATGTTTTTATAAATGTATTTATTTTTCTGTTCTTAGTGTACAATCTTTACCTATTTTTTTTTTTTTTTATATTAGTTTTCAATGTAAAACTATTATACTTTAAAGTTATACCTAAGTATATAAACAAGAACTTATTACAATACAAAGGTTTAAAGTGCAATTATTAGAATAGATTGTAGAAATATTCTTTTAAATTTTTAACTATAAAATAATTTACGAATTTTCGCAATTTTAACTAATTTTGTTGAAATTTAAATTTTAAACGATTATAAGTATATATATAAAAAAAACATGTTATTAATGTTTACCTTATTAAATTATATTTAAAGGAAGACCGACACTTTTTAGGTACTTAGGTTACTATTGATAACTCAATCCGGCATTGCAAATACATTTAATTTTATTTGTAAAAAAAAAGTATACTTTAATTTAATGATCGTTATTTGAATTTTTAAGTTTCTTATTTTTTTTTTTTTTTAGAGCCCAAACATTGTAGTTAATGTAATTATGATGTCAACGACTTCAATGATTTTTTTGATTATTCCAAACGAGTTAAAAGTCAAGTTAATTTATTCGTACAACTCTGCATTTTTTAAAAGTGACTAAATTAAATTTTCTTTTTAAGTCAGCTGGAAATAACCACCACAATGGGTTTATGACTCGTTCCGTGGAGGATATATTATTAAGCTTCAATTAAAGGCTGGTGGTGACATTTTTAAATAAATTAATGTAACAAAATTAATAAAAAGTTTAATACCTATCAGTAAAAGTCTTAGTACCTACGCATAATAGATATTATTAAATTATTTCGATTTACTCAGCACAACTAAACATATTATTTTTAAATCATCCGGACAACACAATATAATATAATACTATTGTCTGAGATATTATAATTGTGATTATATTATTCACATTAGAATGCATTAAGCGCTATACGTATATTGGTCATCGTTGTGGTATGGAATACTTTTAATTTTGTATATCTTATGAATGAAGTAGTTCTTATAGTAATTACACTTATATAGGATTTGGAAGTTCAGTTTCCCCCTCCTTCATTGTAAAATATTGTATAC